TTTTGGGAGGCAAACCTTTCTCGACATCTGATTTCAATCTCCGAAGTAGAAATGGACAAACAACCTAAGGATGCAGAGACAAAAATATTATTAATTATATTGCAACTGCAAACCCACAGGCCTGGTATAAATAAGGATAATTTTTCTTAACTAGCCATATGAAGTTGTTGAATGACTTCCTGTTGGTCATTTTCACCAAAAATTTGAAACCACTCATCAAAAGTTTCAGCTGAACTAAAAATCTCCGGCAATAAAAAGTTAAGAAGAGACCAAAGCTCATGGAGATTATTCTGCACAAAAATGATGCCAAGATTATTACAAATACAGAACAATGAAGTATTAAATGAATCACGTATGAGTAATCAACAAGACAAGAAAAGCTGTCACTATTGATCACACTAAAAGAACTACAAAATGAAGTAGGAAATAGGTATAAAACCATCAAAATATTTTCAGGTTGAAACTGAAAGGGGATACATGCTTGACCATATTTTCAACCTAAATGCAAGTCAAGAACATTAAATGGCATAGGCATTTATAGTTCAACTAAGAAGATGATAGGAATGGACCAAGCCGTATAATAGTCAAAAATACTTCCATAGAGAACATTTGAATGCATACCTGAAGTGGAGTAACAGTAATAAGAAGACGGTAATTGGTATTGTAGAGCCCCATTGTTTTTGAAAGAAGTGAATTCTCATTCTTGATTCGATGGGCTTCATCAATAATTATATAGTGCCAACTAAAACGACGCAAAGCAGACTTCTCTTTGATGGCCATTTCAAAACTTGTGACACAGATATCAAACTTCCCAGCAACCAGTAACTCCTCACGGATGTATCCCTGTAGAAATCAGAAGACATAAGAATCAGAATAGAAAGAGAAAAAACAAAAAACTGAGTTATCAGTAAAGCATGAATCAAGCAACTTACTCTTTCCTCAGGATTCCCGAGAAATTTTACAGCTCGCACGACTGGGCAAATCAACGAATTTCATTCATCCAATTACCAAGGGTTGATTTTGGAGCAACAACCATATGAGGGCCAGTAATTCCGCGGTATTCATGCAGATAGCCCATTAAGGAGATAGTTTGCAAAGTTTTTCCCAGTCCCTGTTTCCAAACATTTTGTAAACAAACATCAGCTGCTTATTTTTATCTAAAAAAACAAGTCTTGACAATGAGCTTCAATAAACAATCTTTAAAGCCACAGCTACAACACATACCATTTCGTCTACAAGAATACCATTTTCATACAGTCGCATAAGCCAATTTAAACCGGCGAGTTGGTAGTCCCTCATCTTTCCCTGAATACCCAGAAAGGGAGATGAAGGAAAAAACAGAACGCATAAAAGAGAAATTAGAACACTTGAACTGAATTCTCCTACTGATGGGTATATGGGAGAAATAACTTACAAGAAGGCTGAGTCACCAATCTAGTGTTTCCAGACAAACCGTCTTCTTCCCCCTTGATGTACTCTTCATCTTCTTGCTCTTCAGTGGCTTTTGTTGCATGACGACCTCTAAAAGCAAGCAGAAGAAAACATCAATAGAGAAGGTCTAAAGTTAAAACAACTAGGGTACAAAACACTTTACAATACTATGAAAATCATCAAAATCAAATAAAAAACAATAATCATCACTTACAACTAGCAATAGCAAGATAACAACACAAACAAGACAAATAGTCAATGTCAACATCTGGCCAAAATAAAACTGTACCTTCCTTTCACCTTCTTTTGAGATGAAGATTGGTCACCTTTAGCAAAATGAGCAAACAACTTCGTTTGCTGCAAAAGATACTTCAAACACCCCTTCCCCCTATAATTCTGTCATGATCCAAGCATCAGTGAACCATCAATTACAATTAAAATTAACTGAATGTGAAGTTTCCTATATTATTTTAAAATTTTAACTTTTTTTGAAATTATAAAAAATTCAAAAAAAAACCCTTAATTTCAATTTCCTTACAATTGTCGGTAGCCACTAATACTATCAATCGATCGAAATCCTGATGGTGTGTGATCGCCTAAACACCCATCGATCGAATACTCATACTACAAACGATGATTGTAGCGAGAAATAAGTGATTACAGCGACTAAGTAATTTCGACTAAGGATGACGATTCCTCTTGTTGTATGCTATCTAGTTAGATAAAGTAACTTATAACAAGGGGTGTCAATGTGTCATATGACACCCCAATTTTTTTTTTGAAAAAATATGTTTAAATTAAATATAAAAATATTTTAAAAAAATTAAAACCAATATATTTTTAAAATAATATTGACACCCTTAAATATAAATTGACATTTGTTAACTATTTTTATCCACTTAAAAAAATCTTCATATAATTTTTAAATTTGATATCTTAAAATATATTTTTTTATCTTTGTTCCTAACTTGGGTAAAGGTGTTTGGAATTAAATTTTTTGAGTTTTATGTAGTTTTTAGAATTAAAATAATTAATTTCTTATAAATAAATTATAATTTTTTGTTTAAAAAAACTAAATTTATAAAAACTTGATTCGTGTCAATTACGGCTATGATAGATCAAACCTAAAAATATAATATTAACATTATTAGACATATTTTAAACCAAATTTTTAAAATTCTAAAATTAATTTAAGATATAATTAAGCACTTATCTTTGTATTAAGAGTAGAAAGAATAAGAGACGTGCAAGTTGGGGCTTGGATATGCATATTATCTGGAAACTGATTCCAAGATCCAATTCACCTTCCCGGCTTCCTAATCCTATGCACCTAACTCTACAACTTACCCTTTTTCTCCTAAAATAGTTTTATTTTATTTTAATTTAAAAAAATTATAAAGTTGAAGAAAATGTACAAGAAAACAAGTATTCATAAGAATAGTTTCACAACTCCAGATCCGATCTACTGACATCACCATTCTTTATTTTATTCTCTTAATTTAAATTATATATCCTATTATATTATTTTTAATTAAATTTAAATACAAAATAATATTATAAACTAAATCAATCGAAATTTAGAAGAAAAAAAAACCAATTATTCAAAATCTAATGTGTGGAAGGCAAATCCAAGTAGCGTAAGACATTAAAATTTTCAAAGTAAAGAATAGATCAACTTGGAAAACAAAACAAGCTGGCTAAAGCCTTTGTCCACTTTATCTTGTCTAAACGAACACGTTTGTCTTTAATTTTTGGATACATGCACACTACCCCATCATTTTTAATATTGGGTAAAGTACACAAATGATCCCAATTATAAGGTGATATTTTATCGAGTTATCTGATTATTTAAAGTTATAAAATGATCCCTAACCATAGAGTGATAATTTATTGAGTTTCTCAACTATTAAAAGTTACAAATGGATCTCTCAACTACAATACGTTGCTTTTTTTGTATTCTCTCAACTATTAAAAGTTACAAAATGATCAATCAACTATTCATATGATCCCAACTCGTCATTTTCTGTTTAAAAAATGACAACTTTGATTATGATATGATAAGATCTAATCTTAGAATCTCAAACGACTTTCATATCTCAATCATAATGTTAACGTCTAGCCCAGACGATCATCATTTTTTTTAACAAAAATGGCGATTTTGGAACATATGAATAGTTAGATGATCATTTTATAACTTTTAATAGTTAAGGTACTCAACAAAGTAACAAGCTATAATTAAAGGATCATGTTGTAAATTTTAATGATCGATGTACTTAATAAAATTATATTCAGTGGTTTGCTTGCTTGATAGTGTGGCTCGTTTCCTGGAATCACGAGAGATTTTTTTTTGTTGGGATCTATTTGTAGGGATTACTTTCCATTTCAGACTCGTATATAAAGATTGCATAAGAAGACTGTTCAACCATGTATTTATTTATTTATACATGCATTGTATTTTATCTTTATTTTAAATTTTTCTTACTACCGGAGGTGTTTCACGGAAGTTGCTCTCAACCTGGCGATGAGGTAGCCTACTACCCTACCTCCCCTTACCCCATCACATATGAGAATAATGTTTTGTTGTTGTTGTTGTTGATAGTCGAGGGACCATTTATATCCTTTACCCATTAATATTTTACATTCTTTTTAAATCATTTTTAATTTTATAGCTTGGTTTGAATATAATTTAATCTTTAACGAAAGGAAGGGTTTGAGGGCACGAAAATAAATTATGTTAATAAATATATAAAAAAATTCAAAATATAAGATAAAGTTTTCAGGGGCGATCCATCTTATTTAAGATCTCTTCATGACATGTTGGTCATCTTATTATGGATCCAAACTACTAAATCAATTTCAAAATTTATAAGTTGATTTAGTCTTTTAAAATGAAATACTTTGACATGAATTCTGCAAAAAATAATTATCTTTTATTTATTTATATTTTCTAAAAAATAATTCAATCTCACGATTTAGATTTGGTTATTTAAAATAAAAAAATAACATTATTGATCAAATTCGTTTGCACTGAAATAGAGAGAGAGTGTACTTAAATAAAATATAAACGAAAACCATAATTGAACATGGAAGAAAATAAAGTGAATTATTATGGAAGAACAAGTTTTTAGATTCAGCCTCAAGTTCCGGCCAGAGGTGTGGGTAAATGAGAAATAATGCGTCTTGCACATGTTTGATAAAATGCCCCACCGAAAGATCATTTACGGACTGAGACTCGATTTGCTGCAACTGCGGCGCTGGTCCCTTTCCCTGAAAGTCATCACTGCCACTCCACCCCCACTTTATCCCCTCCCACCAGAATCTCATTTATTTCTATTAATAAATAGTTAGTTTGCCCTTCAATGAAAGATAGCATCTTCTCATGTAAATATTAAAATATTTTATATAAACGAGTGGCCTTTGAAGGCGGGGGGGTTTCCGTCCCTTTCTCTTCCCTCCGTTCTTCATTTAAAGAATCACGACAATCCAATTCAATTAAATCCCGTCTTCCCAAATTAGGGAACCCCCTCCTCTTTCTGGGTTTCATCTGGAAAATTTGTTTCCCAATACTCATGGAGACGGGAGGCTCTTCGGCCAATGAACGCCTTCATTTTGGGAAGATGGAATATGGGTATATCTTCTTTCTTCATTTCCTCATCATGTTTGGTGTCTTTTCCATCTACGATTCATTCATTCATTCGTTTGTTTGTTTTTTCTTTTGGGTTTATTTAGATGGCAACATTGTAGGAGGAGATGTAAGATTCGAGCTTCATGTTGCAACGAGGTTTTTTGGTGTCGTCATTGCCATAACGAGGCATCGGTATTTGTTTTGAACATTTATTTTGCATTTCCCTGTTTTTTCTCTAAACAACAACAACAACAAAACTCAATTATCATATACAATGGGGTAAAGGGAGGTAGGATAGTAGGCTGCCCCCAACGCCAGTAGCTTCCGTGGAAGACCTCCGACAGTCAGAAAATAAAAAATATAGATAAAATACAATGCATATATAAATAAATACATAGTTGAACAATATTCATATGAAGTCATTAATATCATATGCGTGTCTATAATGGGAAGTAATTCCTGCAAATAAATCCCTGCGAAAAAAAATCTATGCATATAGACAGAAACGTAAGACCCGGCTAAATTTAAAAGAGGAAACATGAAGAGAATGATACACAGAAGTCAACGATAGCAAGCCCAGTTCTAAGCCTTCATAAATACCAATAACAGAAACGTATAAAAAGTAAAAGTCATGGGAATTACTACAAAGACATTAAAAGGAGACATAGATGATACACCCTATAGATGTGACCCACACTACTCGACTACCCTAGTCTTAAGTCTCCATACTTTCCTATCAGAGGTCATGTCCTTGGTAAGGGCTAAATCCATCAAATCAGATCTCAAGTAGTCTTCCCACTTCCGCCTTGGTCGTCCTCTCCTTCTGGCACCGTCGACTGTAATCGACTCTACCCTCCCGACCGCATCCGACGGTAATCGCCTAAGGACATGCCCAAACCACCGTAGTCTTCCCTCCCTCAATTTTTCGAAAACAGACATCACCCCTAAGGACATCCTAATAGCAGAGTTTGTTGTCATATCCCACAGAGTCTTACCACTTGTCCATCGAAGCATTCTCATTTCTGCGGCCTCTATCCTCCTTACGTGATCTTTCTTGATTGCCCAACATTTTGATCCATACAATAGCGTTGGTCTTATTGCCATTCTATAAAATTTTCCCTTAAGTTTTAGAGGCACCTTCTTGTCACACAAAACTCCAATATCGGCCCTCCACTGTAGTCATCCCGCCTTTATACGGTGTGTAACGTCATCATCTACACCCCATCTTTATGTATCATAGACCCTAGGTACTTGAAACAATCATTTGAGGGGAGAACGTGTCTTTCTATGCATCTTCTACATCTTCATCGATTTGGTTCTCACTGAAGTTTGAACATAAATACTCTGTCTTTTCAATATTGATCCTTAGACCTTTTTTCTTCCAAAGCAGTCTTCCAGGTAGTCAGTCTACTATTCAACTCAGATTTTGTTTCAGCAACTAGGACAATGTCGTCAGCGAAAAGCATACACCATGGTACACCGTCTGGTGTCGCACAATAAATGTCATCCATAATCAAGGCGAAAATGTTTTAGGCTATTTGTTATTTGCATCTTTTAAGACGAAAATGAACAGTTGTTTTATTAATGTTTATTCTTATGCTCTTACTTTTGGTGTTGTTTTTTCATGTTTGTCTAGGTTGCTCAACTATGTTCAAATTGTGGCGTCAATATGGGAGAATATTTTTGTGATATTTGCAAGTTCTTTGATGATGATGTAAGTATATAGTTTTCCCAATATTTTATTAATGAACTGGTTTATAAACTTGCTTCATTTCCGCTGTTGATTCCTCGGTTTTTGATCCTTGAATTCTTTCTTCTATACCTTTTCTTGCTTTCCTTTGATGATTACCTCTCGTTTTCAGACAGAGAAAGAGCACTTTCATTGCAATGAGTGTGGGATCTGCAGGTTAGTTGCCAAATTTTTAAGCATGTATGACTATTATTTTCCTCTTGGTTACTCGGATTCAAGGCATGGGAGACTTAATCGAATGGTTTTTGATAGAGTCGGCGGTCGGAACAACTTTTTTCATTGCAAAAATTGTGGTATGTACTTAATCTCGTTTCTTACCTTATCATGTTTAGTTCAAAGTTCTTAGATTCGATTTCATTTCTTACTTTATAATCGTATGATAACTGATTGCCCAATTCAAATTTAGTCATATTCAATAATCCGTGTTTCTCGTTTCCCGATATGGGTTCTATATTAACTATTCCCAGTTTCCCTTTTACGTGCTTTCACAGTTGTTTTTTATATGCTTATGCTTATGAGCTCTATTTCATGTTTAGATTCTTCTACTGTGATTTAAAACCATGCTGTTTTGATCCAAAGTTGCTGAAAACATCAATCGAGTTAGGAGTAGTCATTTAAACATTTGAATTCCATCCCTATACTTACAGCGTCTGTTTAATTCTATGCTGCATCTATTTTTAGAGCATAACAGTACGTACTTTCACTACTGTGCAGGGTCTTGCTATTCCCTTGCTTTGCAAGGTAATCATTTTTGCGTGGAGAACTCGATGCGGCATCACTGCTCCATATGTTACGAGGTTAATCTTTTCTACCTTTTGCAATTGTATTTATATGTATTTGTATATTGCTAATAGTCCATCCTTTTGTTTCCCCAGTACCTATTCGATTCATTGAAAGATACCACAGTAATGAAATGTGGTATGTATTTGTATATTGCTAATAGTCCATCCTTTTGTTTCCCCAGTACCTATTCGATTCATTGAAAGATACCACAGTAATGAAATGTGGTCACACGATGCACTACGAATGTTACTATGAGATGATAAAGCGCGACAGGTGGTGACTACGAGTTCTTTCTTGTATAAGCTTAATTGTTCTTGTTATTCCAATTTAATTTGATGTTGTTTGCTCAGATATTGTTGTCCAATATGCTCAAAGTCAGTAATCGATATGTCTAGAACCTGGAAGAGGATAGACGAAGAGGTAGTGCATCTTCAATTTTAAGTTCTGATTTAGTTGATTGATTTGGTTTTTGTCCAAGCTTGATTCACAAGAAAGTTATCTTGTTTGTTGTCAGATAGAAGCGACTGTAATGCCGGAGGACTACCAGTACAAAAAGGTGCATACCCCGGTTCTTGTTCACATGGAACAACCTGTTGCCTGTACATTCAGATCATGTTTATTGCAACTGATTTAACAATCAAATGCAGGTTTGGATCCTATGTAACGATTGCAACGACACTATGGAAGTTTTCTTCCACGTAATAGGGCAGAAATGCAGTCATTGTAAATCATATAATACCCGCATGGTCTCTCCACCGGTACTCCCACACTGAAAAGATCACGACTGAGGAACCAACGAATTGAGCTCGAGGCATCCAAGGTGCGTACGTGTAATCATGAAATCCGAAGACAAATTATTGATAACATGTTTGACCATTGTATTTCATACATAAGGACATGTTTGATCATTGTATTTCATCATTGGATTGATTATGTATCAGTACAGCATATGATTCAAATTACTCTGGCAATTTTTATCTCATGAAATTTCTCAGGTTAATTCTTCTCCATTTCAGAGTAAAAGGGAAAAAATGCAATGGTTACTCAATTTTGACGGATGAATTGACTAGCGATTATTTTTAATCTCGTTGCTGGTTCCAAATGCACCATTAAAAAAAGATTATCAAACTAGACTAATGTTTTGTTTGATAAAAATGGAAACGGAAGGGATACAACATTTTTATTAGGGCTAAACCTGAGTGACATGTAAAATCGACTTCATTTCTAATAATAATATTTTTTTTGGATAATTCAAAATTTATTACCCAAAATAACAAAGTTGCTACAACCAATCAAACAACAAAAGAAGCTATTAACAAACATGAAGCAAAATAAGATTGGCTATGCTATATTCCAAGCATTACAAAGAGAGAGATTAATACTATCAAGCCTATTGATGAACTTTCCCCTTAGACGTATGGCAACAACATCCTTAATATCTTTGAGCAAGGCTTCTACATTTCTCCGACGTCCCGAGAAAATTCTGCAGTTACGTTCTTGCCACAGGAAATAAATGAAAGCAGACCATGCAAGTTTCAAAAATAAAAGTGATTAGAGACTTCACTTTCCAAAAAGTAATTGCCCAACCAGTAAAATCATCCCAAGACGTGAATGAGGTATTCATGCCATTATGCAGCAGTATAGCGCTCCAGAGTTCGGCCGCCAGAGGGCAGTGGAAGAAGAGATGGTCCCGTGTCTCTTGGAAGGAGTTGCAATTGACACAAATACCTTCATAACAGATTCCCATACGTTGGAGGCGATCTCTTGTAGGAAGACGATCGAGAAGAGCCATCCAAGCAATAAGACCGTGCTTGGGGACATGAATAGGGAACCAGATTAACCGGTGCCAAAGGACATTCTGCTCACGTGATCGAGTAAGTTCCCAAAAATCATTGGTTTGCAAATGACCAGAATTAAGGAAAAGGAAAGCAGCAATTCTCAGTTTGAGAATCTGTTTAATGCTCCAGCTTACAGTTGCTCCAGCTTGAAAATGCCAGAAATCTTGGTTCTTGAAAACATAACATTGAAGCCAGGCAACCCAAAGGGAACTAGTTCCTTCCAGAATCTTCCTGATAAGGTTGAAAGTGCATAACCTGCACCAGTCTTTTAAGTTTTTCAGACCAAGACCTCCTTCTGATTTAGGAAGACAGATTCGTACCCAACTTACTCTGGCTCCAACAACCTTTTTATCAGCGCCTTTCTAAAAGAATCGGGAGCAAAGCTGCTCCACCTTGGTTAAAATTGAAGCTGGGAGAATAAGTTGTCTACACCAGTAGTTGCATACACTATAGATAACAGTTTTAATCAATTTGAGTCTTCCTGCATAACTTAAGTTCTTACCAGACTAGATCTGCAGCCTTTGTTTGATATTGGAGATGAGTGCTTCACAGTCTTTGCCAGTCAGCTTACGAGAGAGGAGAGGAATGCCGAGGTATTTTATAGGGAGAGTGCCAATTTTAAATCCAGAAATCCGTTTGATGCTGTCAATTTGTTACATTTAGGATGGAATCCAAAGATTTTTTTATTTGCAGCCAAGTTGAGCATTCTAGATAAGATATTCATAGTAAGAACAAATAAGTATGGGGAAAGTGGAAGAATTTTGTATTTTTGTCGCCATCACGAATCCACTGAACCTTTGCTTTCTGCTTAAGAAATTCTGCTTCAGCTTCCTCCAGAGAATTTAAGTCCTCTTGAAGACCAATTTCCTTTCCAATGCTTTCCTCACCTTTCAAAGTGCAAATCTGCTGTTGTTCCAACTCAAGTCTCTTAAGTTTTACACAGTCCGAAATGTTGCTAAAATTGACTTTGTTAAAGCTTTTGAGGCTGACTTTAAGTCTCTTAAGTTTAGTAAGAAGAATAGTCATTGGGTTGCCAAGAACAGTAGGATGCCAAGAATGCCTAACTACATTCAAAAAATTAGGATGGGCAGCTCAAAAATTGAAAAATTTGAAAGGTTTAGGCCTATTAACTTGTGAATCTTTAAAAAACCAAATGGTAGACATACAATGATCAGAAATGGTAGGGAAAAGGAATTCAACAAAAAAGTAGGGAAAAAAAGAGGCCCAGCTTGGGTTAATCATAACCCTGTCTAGCTTCCTAGCAAGGAATAACTCTTGCTTTTTGTTACTCCAAGTGAAAGTTGGACCAAAGAAAGGATGGTCCATTAAGTCAGTGTCCTGAGTGAGGTCTTGAAAGTCTTTCATGCCAGGAGATATAAAGTTGCCTATAAGCTCATGATCCGAACTTTCCTCTGGCTGCAGAAAAAATATTGAAATCACCACCCAAGGTCCAAGGGGACTGATTGACAATGATATTAACTTCTCGGATTGTATGCCAAAGGTGTCTACGAGAAATTCCTTCATTACTCTCATAAATGGCCGAAATAAAGACAGGGGAGCACAAAAAAGAGCCTTTGACAGTAATACATTGGTCAGAGACTTGGATGGTTGTGAGGTCAATTTCTTTTCTCCAAAGCACCCAGATTCTTCCGTTAGTAGCAAAACCATAATTAGTACAAGCATTCCAGTTGGCAAATTTAGAACTAAGGATGGCATCAGCGTTGTCCTCTTTAACTCTAGTTTCTATGAGACAAAGAACATCAATATTAAGAAGATTGGCTCGCTGAACCACTTTATTTTGTTTAAGAGGACTATTAAGTCCTCTAATGTTCCAAAAACTAACTATCATTGAGTTGGAGAACCCCCCGTACCCCTTTTACTTATATTCGAGAGGTTTTTAACCTTGTCCATTTGTTCTTTCTTTTTAGACTTCAGCTCGTTGACCAGGCCAGCAGCTCCTAGTGAAGCAACTCTTGGTTTCCTAGAGTTGATTCCATCATTAATAGGTTCGTCTTCAACAGTTAGAAGGTCGAATCTATTTTTAGAACCTGTATGAGTAGCCTTAGATTTATCTTTTAAAGGTATGCCCCTACCTTTTTTAGAAGCTACTGTTTGAGAGTTAGTAACTTTGTCTGAAGATTTTATTGTTTCCACGATGGATTGATCTCTAACATTATCTGGTTAGAAGAAAGGTTTTCAGTACTACCAGAAAGATCTAAGGCTGGAACAGTATCAATCGTAGCCTGGGAAGTGTTAGCTTCCAGTAAAGGAGATTTCTCAGGAATTTCAGATTTTTTGGCTTCAACCTCCATATTCTGTGAAACTTCAACCCCCTTTGAATTATTTTGAGTTTGTTCCTGAAGTACTTCTACAACTTCAATTTGGGAATTAACTGAGGAAGAATTAGGATCACCTTTCTTTCTCCAAACTTGAGAAACATTAGAAGCAGAATTAGGCTTCTGGAGACATCCTTTGTCGTTATGGCCGAATACTTTACATTTCTTGCAGGACTGAGGACGCCATGGAACCTTCACAATAATAGAAGTAGTTTAACCATCATTAAGAATAACATAGATAAATTTAGGGATGGTTTCGTCTTCTCCAATTTCAACACAAACCTTTGCAAACTCAAGCCTAGTTTTTGAAGCAATGATTGAGTCCATTGAGAGAGGGACTCCAATGGCACTCGCAATATAACTAAGGCCAGTTCGATTGAAAAGTTCTAAAGGTACATTAAACAAGTGTACCCACACTGGGATCTTAGATAAGCTAAAGTTCAGTCTCTTCAAGTTAGGCTCCCATTTTCTAAGTATAAGTGGTTTATTGTGCACATGCCAAGGTCCATTCTCAATTACCCAGTCTCTAGCATTCTCAAAATTAAACGAGAATAAGAATAAGTTATTTCCAGCAGAATTGAACTGGACTGAAGAGCCTTGCAGCACTTTGCACCATAAGCTTTCAACAGTTCTTCGCAGCGATGAGAAACTTGGAGGGACGCCAAGGAATTGACCCACGAGGGACAATCTCCATTCTGAAGATCCGGCTTCTAAGGATTTCAGGAGGGGGAAGCACAGTCGGGACTCCATCACGTAGGTTTGGGGGAAAATAATTTAGGTCGTGGGCTTCGGGGATCCCAAATAACTTACGCCAATCCATCGACAGTAGTAAACATCACAACACAAAGGGCGGGACAGCAACAACGAAGATCTTGAAAAGGAAAGCGAGCAACAAGCACCAACGAATCAACATAAATCTCTGGTTCCATTAGCCCTGCTAGCGTGCACCCAGAGGATTTCGTAAACGTGCGCCATTAGTAAGCTGATTAATTAATAATAATCTTTAGTATCTATTTCAGGTGTAAGAGGGCGTGAATTCATTCCCACGCTAGCACAATTATGTTAATTTTATTTTAATACGGTGGTGACACGTGTCATCATCCTATCGGTTGAATAAAAATAATATATTTATATTATTTAATTATTGGTGTGGTAATTTAAAAAAAAATTATCACATTATGTCAGTCATGTCGTTAAGTTTTTTATGACATGTATCAAAATGAAACAAAAATAAACATTAGGCATGGTTTTGTAAAAATTAAAAGTTTGGGTACCAAAATATACCAAAAGTGAAAATTTACGTACTAAATGCGTAGTTTACCCTATAAAAATAATGTAATTAATTTTTATTTTAAATAATTTACATTTAGATTTTTAACTAATTTATAATTATATGTTGAGTACTTTATAATTTTGAAGTTCATAAATTAAATTAATGGTGTTCATCGATACTCGTTCAACATTGTATAATTTTCCTTATATTTATTTGAGTTTTTTTAAACTCTTATATACAACATTAATAATAGTGTAAAAAACAAATTGAGGACAAAAAGTAATACATAGGTCAAACAAAAATTAGACTAAAATTTATAAAAAAATAATATTAAGACTTATTAAAGGAGATCTATTCCAACTTCATTAGCTCATATTAATAGTGTCATATCTAAAAATTGTAGAATGAAAACAAACAC